ATATCATTAATTATGCACTTGGACTCCTGGGATAAAAGAAGATAATAAGGAGTTAATTTTCCTAAAGGTAGTCTCACTGGCATTAAGGAAAAACAAGCGTTAAGTTTCTTTCCCTACATAAGTACACCTAAGTTTTTCCAGTGTGTCCAAGATTTACTCTCTAAAAATGGAGCTACTAGCACCTCCTAACTACCCACACTTCCCTCAGCAGGGCACCAGTTCATGTGGAACACTGAGGAGTCATCAAAGAAGTATTTATATGAGACTGACAAATGCACAATCAGACCTCTGTCTGATGGAGTTGCAGCCTCTTGAGAATCTGGAGCAGCCCAAGGAGGAAGGGGGAAGGATGTGAAGGAGCAGGAGACAGAAAAATCCCAATCAGTTCTAATCAAGCTCTCAAAAATGCCTTTTCTGCTGAGGATGCCACAGACATTTCTCAGAACTGTTTTATTGTTCCTTAACAGCCTTTTGGTTTCAGGAATAGTGGTCTCCCACGAAAGTGGGAAAATACAATAAAGACCAAAAGGAAGGAAAATCCAAATAAGGAAGGAAAAGGAAAAAAGGAAAGGAAGAAAATTTATATCTATCAAGATGTCCAAACCTCACACTCTTCAAAATCAGCTTCCTTCCCAACCTCCATTTTTGGACAAAGAACTTCTCTTTTGCTCATCCTTAGGCTCAAAAGCTTGGGGTCATCTTGGAAGCCTCCTCCTCCTTCAAGCCCCGTAACTACTTAGGCCTCAAATTCCACAGATTCTTCCTTCAACATCTCTCATTCCATTCACTTACACAGCTTTTTACTGCATACTTACTTATGCTAGTCTCCAGGAGACTCGGGTGGTAGGCATAGGATAGGATATGGAGAGAGATACAGAAGAGCTACTAAACAAGTCTTCTAATAAATGAGGGCTTATGAACAAGTCTGCTAATAAATGAGTGGTTGAGAAATAAATACAAAGATTTTGAAGTGTGAGATGATGTCTGGCTAGAGTAATCAGGAAACACTTGGGGGGCAGGCAGTGAGCTCTCAAGCTGGGCCTTGAATCTGAGGTCTAACTTTAGTAAGATGGAGTTAGCAAAAGGAAGTGGGAAGGAAAACACTCAGGGAATAGCAAATCCAGGCAGCTGCCTGGCACTGAAGGTCCAGGAGGGGACTGGTTAAGAATAAGGGCTGGGGCCAGGTAGTGGCAACCTTTGAATGCTAGAATGAAAAGTTTTTAACCCTGGGACCCCTGGGTAGCTCAGTTGGTTGAGCATCTGCCTTAGATTCAGGTCATGATCCCAGGGTCCTGGGACTGGGCCCAGCATCAAGGCCGGCACTGGGCTCCCTGCTCAGCAGAGAGTCTGCTTCTCTTCTCCCTCTGACTGCCACTCTGCCTGCTTATGCTCTGTTAAATAAATAAATTTTTTTTTTCCTTACGTCTTTAAGCCTTAGCCTACTGGGTCATTTCTCTTCCACCATTTGTACCTTTACACCTGACACCTACTTTCTTCAGGAATTCCACGGCAAAGGTGCAAAACAAAGTTGGTCATAGCTGCCTGTGATTACAGGGTGCTCCTTCTGCATATACAACTTGTAGGACACGCTGCTGCTGTGAGAGGCTGAACAGAAAGCTGGTCGTGGGGCACCTGGGTGGCTCAGTGGGTTAAAGCCTCTGCCTTCGGCTCAGGTCATGATCCCAGAGTTCTGGGATCGAGCCCCACATCAGGCTCTTTGCTCGGCGGGGAGCCTGCTTCCCTCTCTCTCTCTGCTTACTTGTGATCTCTGTCTGTCAAATAAATAAATAAAATCTTTAAAAAAAAAAAAAAAGAAAAGAAAGCTGGTCGCTTTAGTGCTAACAAAACTAGACTCATGCTGGATTAGAAAGCACATCTTATTCTGGGAATGCTTCAAAACTCTGTCAGCCTTCAAAACCTTAACTAGGCTGTGATCTCAGATTGAGAAAATCAATTTAATCCTTCTCAAATTTGCTTTCATTATATGACTCCCCTGCTCAAAGATCTACAATGATTTCTACTTCTTTTTTTTTTTAAAGATTTTATTTATTTATTTGACAGACAGAGATCACAAGTAGGCAGAGAGGCAGGCAGAGAGAGAGGAAGGGAAGCAGGCTCTTTGCCAAGCAGAGAGCCCGATGCAGGGCTTGATCCCAGGATCCTGGGATCATGACCTGAGCCGAAGGCAGAGGCTTTAACCCACGGAGCCACCCAGGCGCCCCTACAATGATTTCTATTACCTACAATAGCTCATTCAAATCCCTCTGCCTCGAATCCAAGCTTATGCATAATCCAACTCCACCAAACCTTTTCAACTTTATGTTACTACCAAGCTCCTTTCCTAGTCAAGAGGGCTAAATTACAACGCGGCTAATGTTACAGTCTTAGTTGAGCTGAGTTAAACTTAAACTAGACAATAGTTTAGGTCATTTTTTTCAGGCATTAAAAAATATAAATTTTACAAAGGTATTTATAGTACTTGGCAGTCCTTATCCATGCTGTCAAGTAAGTTTTGAATTTGAAAATTCCAAAATTATTGTGTTCATAATGTATAAATGTGAAAGAATAGTTACAAATGGCATTGCTATAACAGTAGGGGGTAGGCGGGTGCATTTTTCAAAATCAGTGAAAGTTACACTTAAGATTGTACACTTCACTGAATATAAATTGTATACCAAAATAAACTATAAACAAGCTCTAGTTAATAATACACCTACCAAAGCATTTAGGAGGAAGTGTACTGATATCTGCAATCTAAATAGATGGAAAGATACCCGACAAAGCAAGTTATATTAAAATGTTAATGGTAGTTTAGGTGGTGTGTGTAGGTGTGCCTGTTATGAAATTCTCTGCTGTATGTTTGAAAATTTTCATAATAAAACACTGGGGAAAATGGCATTGATAACGTACTATATAAAACTGTAAGAAGTTAAAATTTGGTGGAATGACAGCATCAGGCTTTTTGCTCTTTGATGCTTCCTTGCCACCTTGCACATACCCCATATAACCCCTTTTAAGATGTGGTAATACTATTTGTTTGCATGGTTGACTTTCCCACCACAGTAAAAGTTCTTGGTGGGCACAGATCGAGTCTGATCTGTATTTGCACTCCTATTGCTTTGTATCGTGTTTGGAGAAAAATATGTGTTCAATAATGGTGGGATGACTGAATGAAAGTGGAACTGCTAAGGGCCAAAGTACTACATTTTCTCACAGATTCCCTTTATTCATTTCTCACATTTCTAAAAGGGTGTTCAATTTTCAAGAGAAATGTCTTTTACTTTTTCCCAAGCACGCAAAATTTCCAAAAACAGACAAAACGCATTTGTATTCACGAGATAATTTCGTATTCTATTACGTAAACAAGTCTGAAGGCCTCCTAACACTCAACTTTTTAGATTTTTTTTTTTTCCCCTAAAAGAGTGAAGTCTCTGACTCCCAAGGAAATCTGGAATTTGTTTTACTCAAATCCTAGATAAGCTGTGAGAAGTGAGAGATCCCTTAACTGGTCAAAAGCAGGAAACTGGAGATCGGGGGAAAGATAAAAACAAACACCACATAAAAAAGTCACGAAGCAAATTAATCAAGAACTTTACCAAGAAACGGAGGGAAAGTCTTAAGGAGCATACACGAGACATCTCAAACTCCCCCCCCCCCAAGACTGGCTTCTCCCCTCCTCTTTCCTCTGACAGCCAGTCAGAGATCGCGCCGCGCGGCCACCCCCAACATGCCACGCGACTAAAGCTGATGCCGCGGAAGATGCCGCTTCTCACGTCAACCTCCGCCAAACAACGTGGTTTAGCGGCGGGAGTACCAGATTCTGGACTGGAGGACCTGGGGCTGAGTCCCAGCTGCACCCCCTGCCTGATGTGCGAGTCTCTTGCCCTCTCCGGGCTTCAGTTTCCTCATCTGTGACTCGGTAATGACTCTCTAACCCCAGCTGGAGCACAGTGACTGTCTACTAAGATGAGTGGCGTAAAGGCGCTTTAAGGAAGATGCAAGCGACTCTCCATTTGTTACGGCTCTTAAGCATGCGGTGCTCACAACCAGCCCCAGACCCATCTCTCAAAGTCACCGCTGTTCCTCACTCCCTTCCCGCCCGGCGGCTGTACTGAGGCCGCCCCCTCCTGTCTGCCCCATGCGGAAGCCGCGCGGCGCCGTCTGCCATACCTGCAGCCACTTGGTCAGCGGGGCCCTCCTGCTGACCCATGACGAAGTCGTGCACGAGGCCCCACAGTGCGCCCGTAGGCGCCACCGCCTCCAGAGCGGCGGCGGCGGCCATGACGCGAACCAGAGACCGTGGGAGGGGAAGTGGGCGGTGGCACGGGACGGGCCTCTGAGCGCACGCGCCTCCTGAGCCAATCGCCTGGCGAAGGTTAAAGAGGCGGGGCGCTTCCCTGGATCACGTGCCTGCCGGCTCCTGGCCAGGCAGTTCCAGGGAGGGATGGGACGGTCCCTCCCCGAGGGGCGGGGCTTGGAGTCGGGGCGGTGGCGCGGGCAGGGAAGGCGGCTGCTGGGCACGCAGCCGGGGGCCATTGAGGGCGAATAATTCCCGGCCCGGCTCCCCGGGAGACGGGTGGCGGGGCGGGTACCTGGCTGGGTGGGGCCAAGGGGCGGTACATACCCTGGGGGAAACCAATGAGAAAATCAGGCCCTGCCCGAGGGGGCGGTGCTGTCGGTCACATGCGCACCTGGGGCGGGCGGCGGCGGAGGCGCGGGCACCGCGAGTCGGCGGCCCGGAGCTGGGCCGGGCTGGGGCGGGGTTAGGCAGGTGAGTGACAGGCTCCGGGGGGCCGGCCCCAGCTGGGAGCCCCGAGCGAGCAGGGAGTAGCTGCGGAGGTGCCCGCCCCCTCTCTCCGCCCCTCCAGCGGAGCTGGTCTCCGGCCGGGCACCGTCGCGGGCCCCCCTGGCCCGGCCACCTGGGACTGTGGTGGGGAATCGGCCCCCTCCCTAACTCCCCTCGCCCGCAAAGTTTGTGGCGAAGCCGGCGCCCGGGCAGAGCGCGCCCCCGGGGGGAAGATCGAGGAGCGCCCGATGCGGGGAGGCAGGAGCCGTTGACCCGGGACGTCGCCGTCCGGGGCAGAAGCGCGGAGCAGCCGACCAGCCCGCCGCCTCCGGTGCATGGGGCCCGACTGAAGAGCCAGCATGGGCAACTGCGTGGGGAGACAGCGCCGGGAGAGGCCGGCCGCCCCGGGACACCCCCGCAAGCGAGCAGGTAACGACGAGGAAGGGAGCAGGGCCACGGGCGCCTCGCCAGTTGTCCCCCTCCTCGCCCGAGCGCTGGGCTTCCCAAGCGACCTCCCACGGCTCCTGGCGCCAGGGTTTCCCAGATGGCTGTTCCGGAGCCAGACAGGGGCCCGCTCCCCAGCCCTGGTGGCCGGGGGAGCCGAGTTGGGGCAACTGCGAGCGCTGACCCGGCTGCGAGCCCAACTCGCTCCAACTGGGAAGCTCCGAGTGGGGGTGGGGGCGGGGGCAGGAAATGTTTGCAGACCGCAGCGGGGCCGGCGGAGGGGAGGGGGGCCTGGGACGGGGGCGCCGCTGGTCTGGCAGCCGGGTCGGGGTCGGAGGCTGGCCCGTCGGGGCACGGCGCGGGCGGCCAGTCATCCCCAGAACTCGGAGCGAGCGAGAACTGTCGCTCTTCCAGAGACTGTCTGTGTCATTATCGGGCTGCAGATCGTGTCTGCCGGAATCCAACTGGCAAAAGCAGCGCAGGACTCTGGGAAAGAAATCTTTATTTTTCCCGCAGGGCTTTTTAGAGCCTCCCGGCTGTCTGGAGTCTAGAAAAGGTGGGGTGTGGGGTGGGAATCGCGCTCGGGTTTGTTGGGATCCTTCCCAGCCTTGGGGATGGGATCTGCTCCTTGGTGATCCACGAGGGCCGGGCAGCGTCTTCTCACTTTCTTGGTACACTCCTCCAATACTGGCGCTTCGCCCTGGGAAGAGGTCTGGCGTTCGTTTCCCCGGGTCTTGTACTCACTTCCTTCTCTGAGGGTGTTGCAAGGACCTTCTGAGAATGATAAAAATCGTATACTTCAGAGTTGAAAGGGACCTTCAAAACTTGTCCAGATAGATCAGGAGTCCAGATAGACTAACTCCTCCTCTCTTTGTAGAAGCCCAGATCCAGAGAGGTTGAACAACTTGCCCAAAGACACACAGCTAGTTAGTAGTGTAGCTGGGGCTAGAACGCAGTCTCCTCTTCCACTCAATTGCTACATATCCCTTTATGTAAGAGGAGCCACAGGCATAGTTATTAATGAAGTGGAAACTCTAGTTGGAATTTCCTGTGTCCTTTGACACCGAAGGTGTGTTGCTTGGGTTGTGGAAACTGGGAAGGAAGATGAGGGGAAAAGTGGGGGAAGCAGAGAAGGATGTCTGTGTGGTGGACAGGATGACTTGTGGAAGAAGAAACATGTTTTTCTGGGGGTGGAGGGAGGAGGTAAATTTAACACTGGAAAACCTTTTGGCAGCCCTGGCCATTCTGACTGAGGAAAGTTGATTCTTAGACCCAAGGGCTTTCTTTCTTTCATTCATTCATTTATTCAACGAATATTTATTATTTATGTGCTCAGTCCACATGATTGATTTTGTAGCATTTTTTGCTGGTGACAACTCTCTCATACTTGAAACTCTTCCCCCCCCTTCCTTTCTCCATGTTAGATTATCCTGGTTTGGTTTGGTTTGGTTTTCTCTGATCACTGCTGCTCACCATCACATCACCTCCTAGCTGTGTACACACCCATGGTTCAGTTTGACATTCTTTTTTTTTCCCCTCTCTTACTCCCTACCAGAGAAATCATACTCAGTCCCACAACTATATCCACTGGGAAACCTGTACACTGTATCTTCAACTATTATCTGTCAAACTCCAGACTCGTATCAGTAAATGCCCACTGGACACGCTGATGTAGTTATTCTCAGATTCAACACTTCTAAAAGCAAGCTCTGCATCTCTCCCCTCAGCCAACTTCCCTTTACTCTTCCATTCTTGCAGCTGCCTAACTTGATACTTTGGAGATGTCTCTCTGCTGACTTTCTCTGCCTCCCAGGCAGTCAGCCACTGGGACCTGCTGGTCTTCCTTGGAAAGTCGTACAAACCTGCCCCTTCCACTCTGCTTCACTCCCTTGTCATCTCAAGTTCAACCCACCTCCCAAGCTGAACTTAGTTTCCCACCAAAGGCAAGTTCATCTTCAGTCATTCATCCAATGCCTGCACTGTTCCCCCCTCCCCTGAAGATGTTTGTTAAATTAACCTGTTTCGAACCCTATAATTCTATGTTTAGGAATTTTTTTTAAGTTTTTTTTTTTTTAAAGTAAATTCTACACCCAGCATGGGGCTTGAACTCATAACCGCAAGATCAAGAGTTGTGTGTTCTACTGACTGAGCCAGCCACGTGCCCCTGTTTAGAAATCTTTTTGTACCTCTCCAGTTCTGTAAGAACTTTAACTTTCAAGGCTGTTCAATTTGGTCAGTCCTTTTTTAAGGCGTGATTTCTTTCTCTTCCCTGAATTAAGGCCACCAGTGTTTGCGCTTTGCCATTTCCCCCCTTCTTATCAAGAGCCTTTCTTCCTTTCAAGGTTCGTCTCAAATCCAGTATCTTTCTAGAAGCACATTGCCTGACAATTCCAACTCCCCCCTTTCTGAGAACTCCTGCAGGCACATTATGCCACTTACTTAACAATTATCTTCTCCATATTATTAGTCATTTCTTTGATGTTTACAGTCTTGTATCAGCAACTACCCTGCAAGCCTTGAGGACCTGGGTTCTGTCTTATCCTTACGTGTCTGTCTCTCACCCTCGCTCATCTAGCCATACGTGTACACATATGCTCGTGCAAACACACACACACTCAGTACTTAGCACAATGACTTATACAGAGGAAGCACTCAATATTTGTTGGTTTTAGAACGTTAACCCGACTATATCTTAGCATCTGAATTTTTCATGTAAATATTTTACTGAAGTACATATCTGGATTTTTTTTACCTGCTAGTGTATCATTTTTTCAGTTCCGTAGGTCCCCCTATGAATAGCTTTATTCATAAAGTCCAAAGCCAAGGGGAACTCTGTAGGATGACAAGTTTGGTATGAGGGAAGGAATCCTTCTTAACTTCACAGCGTGCACCTGGCATTCCTATAACATCTGCAGCTTACCCTTTGACAAAGACATAGTTTGATGTTGTAACACTAATGCCTAAAAACCCCCAGCTCCCCTGGTAACTCTTACCTTTCCTTTGCCGCTGGTGTAATGGGAAGAAACCACCAATAGAGAGCTAGAACCTGAGTTCTAGTCCCGGGTCTGTGGCTGGGTGACCCTGGGCAAGTCCGCAAACCTCTCTCGGGTCACACTTTCAGTATCTCAGAAAGGGGTGGGCTTGTACTAGATCATCAGAGTTGTTTCATCATCTTCACAAAGACAACTGTTCAAAACTGCGAAGTTATTGAGTTGAAATCCTATGCCCTGTTATGTCACCCTTTGGCGATAGTTCTGTCTTCCTAGTCACTTGGCAGGTAAAGTGGAGACATGATGCCCATTAGTCAGGGCATCTTGCCTAGCTAGAAAGTTTGTGATTATCATTCTTTTTTGTTTTTTTTTTAAAGATTTTATTTATTTGTTTGACAGACAGAGATCACAAGTAGGCAGAGAGGCAGGCGGCGGCGGGGGGTGGGGGGGAGGGTAGGAAGCAGGCTCCCTGCTGAGCAGAGAGCTCTGAGGACCCTGAGATCATGACCTGAGCCAAAGGCAGAGGCTTTAACCCATTGAGCCACCCAGGCACCCCTCTTTTTTATTTTTTAACTGTTATTCCTAGTGCATCCCCAGAAGGACTATGTTCCCCCTTCAGGTGCTGGGTGGCCCTTACATGCTTCAGAGAATACTTGGGGATTTACTCATTTAGGGGGCTCCCCCCTGCCGGCACATATACCCTGAGTAGCTCTATCTCTGCCCCTGCCGTGGGTAAGGCAGGCCCTCCCCCAGCCACCCCAGGGAGAAAGCGAGGTGGTAGAACAGGCAAGTCTCTTGCCCAGCTCCACCCTTTGAGAATGTGGCAGGGCTGAAACCCAACTGTCTGACTCTGTGATGTGCCAGGAGTATCCACTTACGTTCTGGAATCTCAAGCCAGGTGCGGACAGACCCAGGGCCCTGTTTTGAGCTGGTTGGGCTTGGTGTTGTAGTTGCAAGAGAGTCGCTTCTCATTGTGTGGGCTGCTGTGGCTATTCTTGAGGGAGTAACTGAGCAACTTCTCCATTTGCCCAGTAAATATTTACTGAGTGCCAGGCACCTTGCTGGCTGTGAACGGACATGGTCCTTGGCCACATGGAGCTTACAATTTAGGGGTGGGGGAGATAATAAACATACTCATGCACATTACACGTGATCATACATGGAAATCCTGTATGACAACACATACAACAATGTATTGCTATACAGCTGGTGATTCCCACATTCATAATTTCAACCCACCCTCTTCAGCTCTAGCCTTGTATGTTCTGCTGGTACGTACCACATTTGATGTGTAAAGGGCTTCTCAGTTTAGCATGTCCAGAACAAAAGGAACGTGCAACCCCCCCACCCGGCTCCTCCCCGAGTCTTCCTGTCTATTAATGTGATTTTGTCCTTCCAGTTACCCCGGCCCCCAAAACCTCGAGTCATCCCTGACACCTCCCCTTTCTCTTAGTCCCACATCCATTTAATCAATAGATCCTATCGGCTTTGCCCTAAATATATCCAGAACCTGAGTCTCTTCATCTTCACCACTTTAGCCCTGGCCTAAGCCACCATCAGCCTCTTAACTGACCTTCCTGCTTCCTCTCTTGTCTCCCAACAGACTGTTTTCATCACAGCAGCCAGAGTGAGGCTGCGAACTGTAAGTCAGATTTTGTTACTCCTTTGTCCCCGATCTCATTCAGAGTCCTTGTGTTGGGTACAAGACACGATATGACTTCACCAGCTTACCTTTAAGCTGCCTTGTGCTCTTCATGGCCTGTTCCACCCCCTGATACCTGAATGGGTCGCTCCCTTGGTCTGCCTCCTCCACATCCCCTCAAGCCTTTCTCTGCAGTGAGGCCCTCCCAGGCCATCCTTTGAAAAATGGGTCCCATTCCCTGTAGTACTTGCTGTCAGCATTATCTGTCCCTCCTCCCCCATTTTATTTTTCTCCATGGCTGTTAACATCTTCTGGCATTGGCCGCCTCCCCTACTGTGGAGGGGTCAGAGATT